AAGATGAAAGTGATTCAAGATTATAGAAGATGGCGATTAATGTTACAGTTAAAGTTTTGAAGATTGTAGTTATTGTAGGGAAGCAGGTATGTGATTTTAGTTATCAGGGAAGCAAGTATGTGATATGTGGCACTGGTAAAAGAAAAGGGTTAATTTAAAATATGAAATGGAACAGACAGAGGGTTAAAATTACAGGAGGACATACAGATTTATATCTGCTTACCTGAAGTGCAAGAGAGCGGAAATGGCGTCGCCGTTGATGGAAATGTAAACACGTCGACAAATAGGATTTTATCCTGCGTTGAAATAATTCGTATAACAAATGAACCTGTGAAGTTCGTGAGTACTATTAAGCGAACAAACTGATTGCGTAAACAAAACCAGTTGTTGAAAATTAAAAAGATAATTACAATTAATGACTAAAAATTAAGATCGCCTTTCTGCCCACGTGGTTTGAAAGTTGGAATTGTCAAAGAGACAGTAGAGGCGGCGGGATTAGATGAGATACCAAGTGAGATGGAGAGATTATCTTCATACGTCTGGAAGTAATGATGCGAGGCATAAATAAGAGGAAGAATGAATTATACGGGCAGGACTATACCTGCAACCATTACCCATAGGAAGAGTGTTTCTCCCAAGAACCAGACAACAAAAAAACCGTTGTTCAACTCGATACAAATCTTGGGGAATCTCCGAATTCCAAAACACCGAAATCCCCACTTCGGTCTTGAGTCAATGTCAGTATAAGCAGTTAGAGTTGGAGCTGGAGACTGTGAGAGACGTAGACGAGACAAGACAGCGGCGGACGAAGAAGCTGCTGAAACCCACGTAATCTGCTGACAAGAGGATCCCCGACTTTGAGTCCTGTTCCAAGAATTCGCACCGATAGACAAAGTGTCAGTAAAGAGATTTTAGTAGGAAAGGTTAATACTAAAAACTACATAAAACCAAATCAAAAATTGACACGAAGACTTCGTTTTTATTACGTCTAAAAAGACATTTATATTTTCCCCATCATAGCAGAGCTCGCGGTGGTTTGGGTCATCGCTACGATTATCGACGTTAATTGATCCCTGCCAGCTCAGTGATCAAAAAACACAACGTGGGCGGAGCAAGGTGTGGACCGAACTGTACAGCGACCAACGACCGTTGATCAGCAAGAGTATCGAACAGCGTGGGAGTGACTCAGCAATCAACACGTCGTCCTGCGACCCTGAGAAGCAATAGATCTTCTGGTAAGGCTGTATGTCACAAGGGCCAGAACGTCTGGTCACTGCTGACCAAACTAACCCAGAATCGACCACCGGGCTAAGTCTTATAAGTAAATGGAAGGGATTTTCACAGATGGAAAGTGCGAGAAACTCTTGGCGTAGAAGTTAGCTATTTCAACAGTAAAAGCGTGGGACCTAGATGCCAATCTAGTAGCACGTTTAAATTCATGTAGTCGGGGCACGGGGGAAAAAGCTTGTCAGAGCAGTTGTCATGAAAATGTCTGTAGAAAAGACAGAGGGAAGCCATGTCACGTCGGTGAGAAAGAGACTGAAATCGAGATGCCTGGTCAGGATCGATTACATTAGAGATCCTTCTTTGGATTTTATCAAGAATATCTAGATGTACAGCCGGAGTACCAGGCCAGAACGTAAAGAAAGAATTATTCTTAAAACCTGAAATATTTTTTCGGCCCTAAATAATTATTAAATGGTTGATAAACCGTAAAAAAAAAACAAATCATATATCTATGAATATTTCTTTTCAGCTCGTCAGGTATGCATGGTGCCACATTAGAAATGTGAGGTGGATTAGTAACTCAGCTATTTATGTGTATAGGAAGGCTGTTTAGTATGGGAAGGCCGCTTATTATACATTTGTTATTAATAAACTCTTAGAACTGAATTTACATCAAACTATAATTTTCTGAAATTGCAAGGTTAAAATCAACATTTAACATTCATTGTCCAACCAGGAAGTATTACTGTCATTTTGTTTTCTTAAAACAGTTTATTTTAAAAAAAATTTAGACTTCTCAAGTGCATTAACTGTTATCGCTCTTTCTTGTAACGATGGGAATTTCCTTCCAAACCTTTTCTGTTTGGTAACATGGAAAATGAACAGCTTGATTATACTATTTTCTTTTCTAGTTATATGTACGATTCATTTGGTTGTTGTTGCTGTTGGAAGTGTCAAGGCATGAGGTCTTTGTTATTTGGTATAGCACTTTGTGATTTCGCAACACCGATCTATCGACTCTCATAAATTATGATCTACTTTAATATTTATATGATTTATTCATTTGAAGCCATTTTTGATCACTGAAAATCTTGTGATGTAATCTTCTAGACGCCATAACTAAATAATATAAACATTATCTTCTTAACTCGTTAAATATTCAAAATAACTGTCATTTGAATGAACGAAATCTATGATTTCTAAAACTGGATGTATACCTTCTCTTTAGGTTTTATGATCAAGTTGGGGAGATTTTCCTATATATGATCTACTTCTATATGACATGTCTCTTCAGGACGTAGGAAATGGTGGCTCTTCACAGTTTCCTACCTTTGTATCTCTTACAAAATTTTGTCTTTTCGCCATCCCCGTCTAGATCCCTGTTCTACAATTCATTTACACAAGCTTGTAAGGTAGGTTATTCACTGTTTCTCTCTGTCCATCTTTGCTTTCAGCAGTTCTGGGTATGACGATAAAGTACATCCTGCAGCAAGGCCTTTGATCGGAAGATTGAAGGTTTTAGGCATCGTGGAACCACCTCTTAATAACTGTTGCTCCCAGCTCCACGCTGACTCATGGTGGTAGCATCTGTTAGGCTCCCAGCTATGGGCAAATAGTTAACTCCCAAACAAAAAAAACTATAAAAATATAAAAATACATTTTTATGCTAAAAATATCAATAATACACACACTCATATATATATTTATAAATATATATATAAAGGTTAATCGTCAAAGTTGAATCAAACCAAGTAACAGTAGTATTAAAAAGAACTCACTACACGTGTAAAAAAAGTTAAAAATAACATGTAGGACTTTTAACTTTAAAAATCAGGAGGTCAATTGAATCCGTTACTTTGGTTTCAAAGTGGTTACGGAATCCTCAGGCGGTTCTTATCAAATTAAAAAAAGAATATAGCGTTCATATTTTTTTTAGATAAAGCGTTAAGAGGTCATTTGATAAAAATCGACTGAGGATAACGTAATGTTGAAACCAACGTAGCGGATTCAACTGACCTCAGGATTTTCAAAGATTTTTAAAGTTTTAAATATATATATATTAAATTTGTAACCTGTAGGTGATATTACTTTTGTCAAATTTTCTTGATTGCACAGTGACTCTTTTATAAATGCCCTTCGGTTTTAGTTTCCCCCCATCTTCCCCCTTTTTTCTTTTCTTTCCTTTTCTCTCTCATCTTCTGAATTTTAAGTTTAGATTATATCGTCTTTTATTGTGCGTTGTGTCACCACAAATGTTTACACCCGTTTCCGGTGTCGGTTTTTAATTTAATTTAGGTCAGCGATTCAGTAATGAATTATGCATCGGAAAATAATTCATATTTACCTGTATCTCATTCATTTAAACCGTTATTTAACTTCTCTCTTTAAAACTTCTCTCTGTTAAATTTGAATCCCCACCTTCACTTTTAGGCCTTCCTGTTCTTCTCTCTTCTGTTACCCCTCTCTATAGCTTTCATTTACTTCTCACATTCACCCCCCACTCCCATACATACACTCTCACTAAATTTTATTTTTTATTTCCGGAGTTATTTTTTCCAATTTCTTTTTGAATTTGTAGGTCTGATGAATTGGATCGTAATTACGATTCCAATGTTATAAATTATAACCATGGAATATTAGTGTTTGCGCCTTTTTTATTATACATATGAAAAATTTCTCAGGGTTAACCTGTAGAAAAAGTTGTTTTACCAACAATACATTTTATTAGTTGAAGCTTAGTATTCTTAGCATCCTTCTCCACCTTTTTATTACCTCAAGTTTCTTCTTCATCTGTTAGGAGAATGTCTAGCATTCATTGTCGTAGAAGTGGACTGATATTACATAACAGTTCAGCATCCTTTTCTTCTTTTCTAATGTGTCCTGAACTGGGGCGTTTTGAGGCCAGTATACCTTTTTATGCTAATCACTAAAATACCTGTCTATATTTCTGAAGTGAGGTATTATGTAAACTATATACATTATTCGGACTATTGTCCTCATCTTTGTTGCCATATTTATCACAACGTTTTTCTACTGCCTTAAATACGTATTGAACTCACAACTCTTTGGGTCCTGTCACTGGATCTAACCAACGCCTTTATCCACTGTGCCATATGTCCTTAAGGCAGTGGAGAACTCGGAGAGGGAAAATTAACAGGAGATAACTGATAACTGACATCCATTAAACATGGCATGTGGAACTAGAACAGTCTACTCTAGTAAGCGAAATAAAGGGTTCAGTTCGACGTTCCAACCACCTGAAGAAGGCCGAAGCGTACAACGGCCGGAATGTTGTGATAAATAGTCCAAATAATGTAAATAGTGTACTAAAATCCTCTTTGCGCAGTAGACAGAGGTAACTTATCAGATGCAAAAATGAAACATGTGAATGCTGTCTCAATCGTTATAATCTTAACCTCTTCATTTTAGAGTCAACCGTTATCTTCCCCACTTATCCCTATAAATTGTGTCTCTTATCTCTTTGTCTGTAACCATCTAGCTTGAGTGGCTCTTAGGTCTTGTACAGAGTGAAATTTATTCAAAAAATCTGCCATGGTTGTTCCATCTATCATTCGCAATAGCTTCAGTGATCATTGTTATGGGTTTCAAATACAGTCTATGATTATACGTTATTTGCTTGAAAATTAAAGCAAGACACCCTTACCTTCTTACTCAACAGGTGACCTGTTAGTCCAGAAACACAACCTCCATGTCGTGGTTAGCATAAATAGCTAGATTGCATCCCTCACCGGCTTCCTAGGCCTGTCGTGTAGCATACAGCGCCTGGTATTGCCCAGCAGACACCTATCTGAGTATTGGCTAAACTCAACGTTGCTTAACTTCGGTGATCAAACGAGAATCGGTGTTGCAGCATTATATAGCCGCAACACACTCTTGTGAAGGAAATCAGATGATAGTTCCATCTCAACAGGGACAGGTACTGTTTCAGTATAAATCATAGTATGTATCGGCCTCAGTGTGTTTTGAAACAACAATATAATTTGGTGAACAACAAACGAAGAATTATACAGCGGCAAATCTAATTATTTGTCGTGTTTGCGCAAGTAACGTAAAAGAATTTTCTAGTCGTATAAAAACAATTTGTATTTATTATCAGGTGCTTTCTGTTAAGCAAAACTTGGTTTTGTAAAGTTAGACGTTGAAATCAAATTTCGTTTTTATTAAATACAAACCTGTCTGTTTGTGGCCTTGTTGTGTATATATTACAACGAGAATAACTTTCTCTTTCTTGTTTGCCTCCCCAAGGCGAATGATGGCGTTCTGGTGAGAAAATTCAAATGTTACGCGCAGTAGATAAGCCCAAAGTTGTACCTAAATCGAATTTCGGTTCGCTCCTTGCAGAGCGGTTAGATTGAAGAGAATTAATTTAAGGAACCATGAATCATTCTTGTTTGCACAAGCCAAAAGTGTTCGTAGGAGGAACTGTTTTATATTATTGTTCATTGATCGCCAGTTAACACAGCAGAAGTTTTGAAAATTTATTTCCACCGTATGATGACCTCGCTAGCGACCTTATGACGTTCGACAAGCCAGCCAGGAAAAAAAAATGTTTTTGATTGATTTTAATTAAAAGTCAACAGATATAACACTTATATCCTATTATTTATTTTATATATATTTTATAGAGTAATAAAGTTGATAATTACTAGGTATTTACTCTGTCTCCCCAGTAAGACGAGTTGTGATACAAGGTCATTTTTTAAGGTGGGGAACTCGAGCGCGTACACCCGGGCCAGGAACAAAAAATGCCCGCAGCCCCCGCAACCGTCAGTTGCACTAGCCTCGGTGCGAGCACCGATCTCTCTCCCTGGTGTAATTTGAAGGCGCGGCGTCGGGCGGCTGTTCCCCAGGACTGGGCACCTCTCAGTATAATTTTTCTCAGTTGTGATTCTGTCCTTTGACGGAGTCGCCCCTGAGTGCACCCTGCCCAAAGACAAAGACACAACTGAGAGATGATAAATAGATGTGTTACAAACTAATCGAAAGTAATTTACACACTAAGTAGATAATTACTAATATACAGAGATAATTCATCAGTATCTTTTTATATTTCTGAGATGAGGCATTGTAATTATTTACATTATTTACATTGGTCGGACTGTTGTCGTCAACTTTATTGTTATATTCATGACGTTTCGGACATTGTACGCTCCAGCCTTCTTCAGGATCTGTCTATATTTCTGAGATGTGGTATTGTGACTGTTTACACTATTTACATTGTTCGGGTGACTGTCCTACGAAGTCGCATTTCCTGGGAAAAGGCTGCGTGGAGCATTTTCCTTACCTCTGGAATTCTGAGGACACGAAGATGATTCGACTCTGTGGAAGTGGTGCGATATGTCCTCGCTGTAAAGGGGAAATGGTAAAACAAAAGAATGGAATGCGTATCCATTCTTTAGTACTTAATCTCGTTCACTTTCTGAACGTTCATTCCATTCGACGCCAATTTTAGCTTCAAGAAAAGCGCCAAACCTGGAGTACGGAAGAGTGAATGAGCTGGATGATGCGAGCTTTTGACAAAAACCTCTGTATGAGACATCATTATTAATGCGGCATCCATATAGTAAACAAGTTCACTAGGTGATGTGTCAGTGGAGACTGAGTAACGCTACGAGAGAGTTTCTGTTCATGCATGTGTTGTAATGTCTTCTTTAGTGAGATCAAGTTCGAACAAATTCTCGAGATATCCAGTGGAGCTGGATAGTTTCTGAACTGATTTACCATTTTTTGAAAATTAAACTTTTACAGATTTAAAACTTTTGTTTACCCATTTTTAAATGCTTTTTTTGCTAGTATAAAGAAAACTTTGAATCTTGTCGAAGAGACGTGTCGAAATGATACGGCTCTGTTTCTCAAGATTACAGCTGGCTGTTTGACATTTGTCAATTGTCAAGATGTATATGCTCAAGGGTTGGTAGACATCACAACGTTGTTTCTTAAATGATCATTACAAATGTTCATTATAAATGATTATTACAAATGATCATAATAAATGATTATTACAAGTGATCATTATGAATGATTGTTACCAATGTTCATTATAAATGATTATTACAAATGATCATTATAAATGATTATTACAAATGATTATTACAAATGATCATTACAAATGATTATTACATATGATCATTGTAAATGATTATTACAAATGATCATTACAAATGATTATTACAAATGATCATTATAAATGATTATTACAAATGATCATTACAAATGATTATTATAAATGGTCATTATAAATGATTATTACAAATGATCATTAAAAGTGATTATTATAAATGGTTATTATAAATGATTATTACAAATGATCATTATAAATGATTATTGGAAATGTTCATTACAATGTTTCACTGGAGAAAAATTACCCCTTAAGTAGAAGAATATTTTCTCCATAAGACCAAGAACAATATGGATTTCTACTTCAAACAAAAGACAATGGTTAAACTTCGGAAAACATGAGGAAAATTACTTCCTTTTAATAATATGTAGAAATGACCACCCTTTGCCTGATGAAGGTCGCGAGACCGGAATCCCGTGGAGCAATAAAAAGGAAAATAAAGTATAATATATATTTAAAATATCCACATTCTAAAGAAAAGTATACACTTTTCTCTCGTTGGAACAACTATAACCTTTCCTTATATATATATATATATATATATATATATATATATATATATATATATATATATATATATATATATATATTGTGTATTTAGGCAGCATTTTTTCATTCATACATGTTTCATTAAATAATATAGACAAGTGTTGAAAAATCAAAGAAAATCACAATATTGATACATATTTTTTAATCCACTCTAAGCTTTCGGCTGACATAAAGCCATTATCAAAGATGACAATTACTGTACAATATATTAAGCAATACATGGACAATAATGTGATGATAGTCTTTCTGTTTACATGGATGATTTCCAAGCAACGATAAACACGTGCATATAAGACGCTGGAAGCGAAAATCGCACCGCAGCTCATAACGTCACACATGACCACGTGAGAGTGAATTCGAGAAGTATTAAGTATGGAAAGCCGTTGGTATAAACCAATGGCTTCTGTTACCAATTATAGACATTTAAGAATATTTGTGGAGATATCATAGTTTATTTTGTTTAGGTTAGGTTTCAACTGTTTTATGCATATAGCTTCAAGAATTTTTAGATTTGTTATATTGTTTTCATGTTTAAGTATAATTGTGTTTTCGACAAGGAATTTACGGAATTGTGTGTGCGGCCAGGCATGTTGTTTTAAATGCCTAAAAATGTTACAGTTTTCATTCAAATGTAGTGTCAAGCGTCGTGAAAGCGAGTTTGCGGTGTGACCAACATAACTATTATTTAATTCGTTGGAGATACAATCTCTCAAAGGGCACTTGAATTCATAAACTATATTGTTTTTTTTGCAAATCGCTAACCGGGGGTTATCGTAATCAAATGCATACTAATTATAAACAAGATGAAAATATACTAATAAATTTAGTAAATACTAATATATCAACAACAGATCCTAGCAAAAGAATTAAGTTAATCATATACTACACTAAATCTAGTATATCCAACTTAATCCTTCGCAATGATTCTCTTATCATATAGATAGACACATACAAAAATATACCTACGCACATACATATACATACACATATACCCATATGCATATATATACCTATATATACACATATACATACATACACACATGCATATACATATACGCATATGCACACACACACACACACACACACATATATATATATATATATATATATATATATATATATATATATATATATATATATATATGGCTATAAATACCCCTAACATCAATTATATAAACAAAATGATAATAGAAACCAGAGAAAAAAAATAAGAATAGAAAAATCATTTGGTACACCCCCCCCGTTCAACCAAATAGTTAATAATAAGTTTTTGGCTTTAATTGAAAAAAGTTTTCCTAGAAATAGTAAACTTAGCAAAATTTTTAATAAAAATACCCTAAAATTAAATTACAGCTGTACTGAAAATTTAGAAAGGATTATAAAAAACAATAATGAAATCTTGAATAAATATTTATGTCACAATCAAAGAAATAGAGATCCTGAAATAAGAATAAACAATTAAATCCGGAGAATAATGAAAGCTGCACAGAATTTGTAGTTTACCAATACACTATCTCATCCATTGAGAATCGTAATATTGTGAAAATCTTTATAGAATGTACAAAAAATGAATTCAAATTAAGATGGAAATAACATTTGATTTTCTTCAATAATATTAAGTAACGTTACCAAACATCCCTATCCAAATATTTTTGGCAATTAAGAGAAACAAATAAAACACCAATACTAAAGGAAATTAGTAAAAAAAACAAGAACTTGAGCTCTTTGGATGATCCATGTCCTTTATGCCTACATGAAAAGTTACATAATATTAACTTTCTGAAAAATAAATATTTATTAAATCAAAGAAATGAAATAGCAGTTTTCTGTAGACATTGTATAATATACTCATTAAAAAATAATTAATTATAAAAAAATAATTCACATATTTATATCTATTATTTGGTCATAAATTAAATAATTTATAAATGCGTAATTAAATTCTAATATATTAATTTTACAATACCATATATAGTTTATTAGTAAATTAAATAAATATAGTATTTTAGATATGTATAAATAAAAATATAAAAAAAATGTCTTAATCATATTTGAATACCTCTTTAAGAAAATCTCGATGTAGTTTTATAAAAGGAAATAAATAAACAAAAAATGTCAAATATATAGAAACGTAAACATTAATAAGATAAAATAAACCAGACAATAATAACTTGACAGCTTGAAAGAAAGTCAGTGTT